ATATACAAAGAGATAGACTTAGAAACATTCTTAGAGAGGAAGAAAAGAGAGGAGGAGAGGTTAGAGATACATTCTTGGGAGTTCTTCTATTTTTCTAGGGTTTCCATCAAGAAGAAGGTCATTCCTACCATGGAGATAGCCCTTGAGGGTTGGATGGCTACTTTAATGAGTGACTAAACATCTTCTTGGGGCTAGAGTTAGCCCTAAGCATGCCTTCTAGACTCTAATGCTTTGTATTTTGAGGGGATTTATGTTGTAATCTTGTCTTGACACTTATTTTATATATGAATCTTGTTTATTCAATGATTTATGTGATTTAATACTTCCAATTGATCATTTCATTATATCCATATGTCTATATATGTTAGAATAGATGTTCATGTGTTTATCTCTAGTTTTTGTGTTATTGATGCATGTTTATGTGTGTTGATGCTATGGATCTAGAGATTGTCAAGGCATAGTGCTTAATAGAATACTATTGTGGTTTATTTGATGGTTCATACTCATGTCGTGATGGATTGTGCCTCTCCCTTAGTTTATTTAGTTTAATTTTCATGCCCTTAGCTTAGTTGTAGTGTAGTTGCCTTAGTTCTTAGATGGAAGGATAATCCATACTTGTTGTTTGATGTTCCATGCTTATAAATGCAAGTAGTATTATTCTCTAACCATGTGATGTATTTAGATTGTGAGCTTAGAGGAAGGATTATTGGCTTAGTTTGATATATTGTGCTATTCACTAGGTTGCTTAGACAATATATGCTTAATGGGTCATCCATGCTTGTTGAAACAATCAATCACACACTCTTAAATTACAACACATGGTTTCCCTCATTAATTATACATTGAATGTCTAGAATGGTGATGTTTAGTGGTGACCTCTAGACCCCAAGACCTCACTCTCTTGTTTTCTCTAAATTTCATTTAAATTGTTTATTTTACATTGAACTTGTTTAGTTTAGTTTGTAGTCTAATCAACCAAACAGTCCACTTTTGATCACTCGACCTATTAACCTATATATTGTTTCGATTGCTAGTGCACCCACAATCCCTTGGGACGATCCCTACTCACCCTATCTATATTTTTAGTTATAGGTAGTATTGACATTTATAAATTTAAAACTTGGCCACACTATTTTGCATAAATTTGGTTGTACATCGACGGCCAACTAGCACCCAGACACAAAAATGAGTTCAAAATTCAGTTTGGTAGTTTCCCAGATGAAATGTCATGTAATATGGCATTTGTATTTCCAGCAATGTTCCAAGCCCCATCAGCATCAAATGCAAGTGCTGAAAAGAAAGAGAATGAAGCTCGGCCGAGTCAGAATTTATCAATTCTTTCTTCAGAATCGGTAGAAAATGTAGTCTTTGAGAAACCTTTGTTAGCAATGACTTAATAATTAAGGCCTTTGTATATCAAGGTATGGGTGGAAGGCCAACCTATTAACCAAGTCATAGTTGACAATTACGCGGTTCTGAATGTCATTCCAGCTAACACATTGAAAAAACTCGGCAAGAGTATAGAAGATGTTATTCCTACCGATGTAGTAATTTGTGGTTTCAACGGAGGCTGTACTAGCAGTAAAGGGATTCTTCCCTTAGAAGTTGAAGTTGGAGGAAGGACATCTTTGCAGCATTCTTTATTATTGAATCCACGGCTTCCTATAATTTGTTATTAGGCCGTGACTGGATTCATCCAAATATGTGCATCCCATCATCATTACACTAGATGCTGATTTTTTGGGATGGTGATAAGGTGAAAATGGTGAATGCCAATGATAAGCCATTTGTGGCAAAAGTGTATTCGGCAAATGCTATTTTGTATGATGAAGAATGTGTTCTAATTCGATTTATGGGAACAGAAGCCGATGGATGACCTACATCGGCAACCATGAGAAGAAGTCTTGCCGATCGTGAAATCGGCGAGTTGCAGCAGGAGAATTCTAGGCCGAAGGTAGAACTTCCTCGACTTACTATAATTGAAGAAGAAGTTGTTTATAGAAGAGAAACTTGAAAAAGAAGCAGCTCGGCAGTAGGCCTTTAGGGCTGCTTGCATTAGGTTACAAGCATACATAGCCGAAAAACGGCTAGAAAGAGAAGCAAAAATAGAGCCAGGACCATCGGCTAATATTGCTGAAGTCGATTAAATCGATAATGAAAAGTTGGATGTTATTCAGTTGGAAGACTTGGAATTGGCACCAGTTAAGCTTGATGATTTTAAAGCAAAAACTCAAGATCCATTAAAAGATGTGAATTTAGGTACTGATTCAGAGCCTAGACCAACCTATATCAGTGCACTGTTAGAACCAGAATTACAAGCCGAGTTGCACGGCATGTTAAAAGAATACAGTGATTGTTTTGCATAGAATTATGAGAAAATGCCGGGTTTATCCAGAGATATGGTGGAACATCGATTACCTATTAAAGATGGCTACAAGCCATTTAAACTGTCACCTCGTTGAATGTCTCAAGAGGTGGTAGATAAAGTCAAGATGAAAATCGAACGATTGTTAGATGTTGGTTTTATTCGAACTACAAGGTATGTCGAGTGGCTATCAAATGTAGTCCTGTTATTAAGAAAAATGACAAATTACGAGTATGTTTTGATTTCTGAAATATAAACTTAGTAACCCCTAAAGATGAGTATCCAATGCCAATAGTTGATCAATTGATTGATGCGGCTGCCAAGCATGAAATCATGTCTTTTATGGATGGACACTTAGGCTATAATCAGATCTATATAGCTGAGGAGGATATCCCAAAGACAGCTTTCAGATGTCCAGGATCGATTAGAAATTTTGAATGGGTAGTAATGCCTTTTGGGTTGAAGAATGCTAGAGCTACATATCAGCGAGCTATGAATTCTATTTTTCATGATATGCTCGGCAAGTTTATGGAGGTATATATTGATGATGTGGTGGTGAAATCAGTAACAGAGAAGGAGCACTTAATTCATCTCAAAGTATCTTTTGAGAGGATAAGGGCTCAAAAGTTAAAAATGAATCCAATAAAGTGCACTTTTGGAGTATCGACAGGGAACTTTTTAGGTTTCTTGGTTCATCAAAGGGGCATAGAGATTGATAGGAATAAAGCTAAAACAATTATTGATGCTAGTGCGCCGAGAAGCAAGAAGCAATTACAGAGGTTACTTGGTCAAGTAAACTATCTCAGGCGATTTATTACCTACACAGCTGGTAAGTTACATGTTTTTCCCCTTTACTCAAGTTGAAACCGATGGAAGAATTCAAATGGGATGATACACATCAGAGGGCATTTGACCAAATTAAGAGATACCTGTCAAGTCCTCCTGTCATGATGCCGCCAAAGAAGAAATGGCCGATGAAGTTATATTTATCGGCTGCTGAAGAATCCATTGGAGCTATGCTGGCATAAGAGAACGAAACCGGAAGTGAATAAGCAATATATTATCTCAGCTGAGTTTTTACTCCAGTCGAGTGTAGATATACGCCAATTGAGAAATTCTGTTTGGCTTTGTATTTTGTAGCAATGAAATTAAGAGTCTATATGTTGCCTGTTTTGGTTCATATTGTTTGTCAAATAGATCTTATAAAGTATATGCTATTAAGGCCATTAATTACAGGCCGGATTGGCAAATGGGCTCTAGTACTTATGGAATTCAACTTTGCATATGTTCCACAAAAGGCGATGAAGGGGAGAGCATTGGCAGATTTTCTAGCCGATCATCCCTTACCTGAAATCGAATCATGGGTGTTTAATGAACTTGACTCGGCAGCCATATTCATAACTCATTGGACTTTAATGTTCGATGGGTCGAGTACCAGTGAAGGCTCAAGAGCTGGTATAGTTATAATATCCCTAACAGGGAACCAAATTTTATTTTCCTTCTTTTTGGATTTCAGGTGCTCAAATAATCAAGCCGAGTATGAAGTATTGATTATCGGTTTGGAAATTCTACTAGAAATGGCAGTCAAAGACGTCCACATTGTGGGGGATTCAAGTTTGGTGATTAATTAAATCTTAGAAGACTTTAGATGCTTGAATTGGAAATTAAGGCCATTTCATTTATTGGCAACCCAATTGGTCAACCAATTTCATTTGGTGACTTTGGAATATAGACAAGGGCCATGAATAAAATAGCTAATGATTTATCACAGAATGCTTCAGGAATCAGGGTGCCGAGTGGAATGAAGGAAAGGGTAATGAAAATTACATGCCGATCTCTTCCATTGGCTGAAACAAGAAATTAAGTTATGGAAGAAGTCTTTGGCACCGATGTTGCCGAGTTAGATGATGATGATTAGCGGATCCCTTACATCTTAGTCTTACAACATCCAACCCTAGAAGCCGATCAGAGAATAAAAAGGAATGCAGTCAATTATGTACTTATGGATGGGGATCTTTATAGAAGATCGGTTGATGATGGCTTGCTATTTTAATGCATTAGCAAGTTTGAAGGTTTAAAAATTATGGCAGAGGTGCATGAAGGAATGTGTGGAGCTCACCAAGCTGGCATCAAAATGAGATGGTTGATATGCTGATATGGATATTATTGGCCTGGAATGAGAAAAGATTGCATGACCAATGCAAAATGATGTACAGATTGTTAAAAGCGTGGTCCAATGCAGTGGGTTCCAGCAATAGAGATGCAATTATTAGTTAAACCATGGCCTTTCAGAGGTTGGGCCATAGATCTTATTGGCAAGATTAATCCTCCTTCATCAAAGGGTCATCATTGGATTATTTTAGCTACTAATTACTTTACCAAATGGGTAGAAGCCGAGGAATACGTATCGGTAACTCATAATACTGTTATACAGTTTTTGGAGCGACACATTTTTCATCGATTTGGTTTACCAGAAACAATTGTTGCCGATAATAGATCTGTGTTTTGAGCAAGTGAAGTATTACAACTTGGCCACAATATGCAAGTAAAAATGGTAACTTCAATACCCTATTATGCTCAAGGGAATAGCCAAGCTGAGGCTTCAAATAAAGTTGTAATTTAAATCATTAAAAAAATGATAAAGGACAAGCCAAGACGCTGGCATGAAACCCTTTTAGAAGCCTTGTGGGCTTATAGAAATTCAAAGCGAACAAGTACAGGAACAACTCCTTATCGGCTAACATTTGGCCATGATACTGTGTTACCGATAAAGTTAAATGTGAAATCGGCAAGGCTGGCTTTACAACACAATCTTATACCTGCCGATTATAATGAAGCTATGCTTGCCGAGTTGGAAGATTTAGATGAAGTCCAAAAACTTACTTTAAACCACCTTATGGTCCATAAAGTAAAGGTAATGAAGGCTTACAACAAAAGGGTGAAGTTTAAGTCATTTGCAGAAGGTGATATGGTTTGGCAAACAATCCTTCCACCTGGAAAGGTGGATAGAACTTATGAAAAGTGGTCACCTACATGGAAGGGACCATATATAGTTCACCAAGTGTTGCATGGAGGAACTTACAAGCTAAAGAATATAGATGGTGAAATTCATGAGAGACCAATAAATGGAAGGTACCTAAAAAAATATAAACCAACTATTTTTGAGCTTATGGAGGAGAAAATCTCCATTAAGTCAAGTTAGTGTGGGTTATATTAGCTCTGGGTTGATGCATTTCTCTGTTTCATGCAAGTTTTGAGAAAATGTGATATTTTTAAGCAATAATAGTAATAAAGATATTAAGCATATTCAAATCATCATTGTCATAAAAAGTTTAAATACCATATTATAGACCCATCAATCAATAATTGTTCAAGATTCGATAAAGGTCTTATAAAAATCTTCAAACTTGGTCTTGAAATCGGCCCAAGAGGTTGTGCTTTGCTGGAGCTTGACCTCCGTTTTCTTTTTAGACTGCTCCAACTTAAGCAATTGAGCCTGTAACACTTTGAATTTTAGAGCAGTAGCTTCGGTTTTCACTTTTAGATCCATTACTTTGCCATTGAGTTGGGCTTTGTCAAACTGCAATTGAGCAAGTTCAACTTGAAGTTTTTTCTCTCGGGTATCCAGCTCGGTAGCTTCTTTTTTCAAAGCTAAGTGAAGCTCTTTTCCCATTTTCAATGCTTTGGTAAGTTTTTCTTTCTCTTGATAGTGGGAAGAGTAGTGATCAATAGCGCGGACTGATTCAGCATAAGTAGTAGTCAAAGAAGGGATTTGAAGTTGGAAATTCTTAAAAAGGGCTTGGTCATTTAGGGAGAATCCTGGATAGCTACTCAGGAAAGAAAGTGTCTCGATTAGTTCATTTTTGAATGAAGGGGTTAGAGACAAGTCCTATTGTACCATTTGAGATAGAATATGGATGGTTTTTATTACTTCTAAGGGAGTTTCAGAGGTTTGTTTAGTTAGGGGTACAGGAGGTTCAGGATCTGGTGAGTCGAAAACATAATCGAATAAAGAGTCAAGGGCTGCGAAAAGAGAACTTGGGTTGATGCTGGCAGGAATGGTTGGAGTAGCTGAGTCTTTTTGTACCTGAAATATGTTGGGTTAATCATAGTTGTTAGAAGTCTACAAGAACAAGTAATAAAAATCATAACTTACTTTCATCAGAATCTCTAATTTGCTCATTAATTGAAGTTACAGCCAGGTGTGGATAAAACACTGGGGACCTTTGTTTCTGCCCTACTAATAACTCAATCTTTTCTTCTTCTTTAACATGGTCTATAGTAATTTCTTGACTTGATTTTTGTTCTGAAAAGAGTGGAGCTTCCTGAAAATAATGCCGATTTAGTTATATTATATGAATAAAGAGGTAATATTTGAAATTAGGCAAAAATAAATTCTACGTTGGGAGATTCAGCGGTAGGTTTCCTTTTCTTGGATATAACTTCATCCTCATCCACTCCATCATCATCTATCAGTACAAAGTGTCTCTTGGCTCTTGACTTTTTAGTAGGTTTCTTTCCTACAATTTTTCTTCTAGCTTGTTGTCTTTTGGAAAATAAGTATTAGCAAGTAAAGTGGCATGCATCAAAAGAGTGAGTATGGTTCGATTATGAGTGTTACTTGAGTAGCTGAGGATAGGGGTATACTTTGAAGAGGGACATAAAAATCAACTTGAGTTTCCTCAGACTTAGTGGGTATTGATTTCTTTGGTGCATTGGAATGTGTGCCTGGATTTATGATTAGTAAGCATATAAACAAAACAGAAGTTTATATGGAATGGACAAATATATAAAACTTACTCTGCCAAGAAGGAGATCTGGTCCTACTGCAGAAGCTGTGGGAGGAGAATGAGTTGGTGCCATATTGGTTACATTTTCTGGTTCAAGAGCAGCAGTAAGAACAATGGGTTTAATGGAATCCACACCTTGAAAATTAAGGGAAATGAATTTGTAGGATCCAAGAAAATTGCACACGAGTTGGCTAGAATCTACGGTCCTGGTAAAATTGATATAGGATGCCCACCAATTCTCGAAGCTTGGATCAGTATGCGGCTCTTCAAGGAAGGGTTTATACTAAAACCCTTGAAGGAGCTGAGTAAATCGATTAGATACATCCTGAACTTGTTCACTATTTGAAAGCTTGACCCATCGATGATAATTCTTGTTATAGGAAAACTGGGGAGGCACTGGGATCATTTGGGTCAATCCAAATTGCCGGGCTATTTGGGCTGGGTTGTAGAATTCAACCACAGTTCGGCTCTTGGCAAGATGAGGAGCAACGGTGTTGCAGGGAATGTCCCTTGCAACTAGGAAATGGCCCCAAGAAGTGTTGTGAAGTTCAATCTGTTCTGCCAAGGACTCAGCAGTAAGAGGGAGCTAGCTGGTATTTTGAAAAGGGAAGAAATTGGGATTGAGTTCTGATCTTACGCTGGTGATAGAAAAACTAAAAACAATCATTAAATGAGTGATCTTTGGGCTTTACTTTGGCATACTCGAATGACAGTAAGATCGCTAGTAACAAGCCGAATGGGGGGAGCTAATTTAGGGAAATACGCATGCAGCCAGAGTTGATAAAGCCAAAGTGGGCCTTCAGATCTCGATAAATTGGAGGTAATGAGATCGAATAAACCTCTATACAAGGAAGCTAAAAGGAATGGAGCTAAGGCCATAGGTTTTCTTTTGGATAATGCGATGGCCAACTGGGTAAGGTTTTTGGTGATTTGAATACCAGGGGCACTGTAATGACCCGGTCATTTTCCTTCCTTTCCTTTTTCTTAGATTTTTACGGATATTTTTTTTCCGTTGATCTTTTCCTTTCTGAGTTCGATTTCTCGTCACTTAATGTCGTCTCGGGTGCTCAGAAATAGTTTCTGAGACTCTTTTCTTTGGATTGACAACTTTCTTTGAGGATCGAGTCATTTCCATATTTTTATTTTTCGGATACTATTCACTTTTTCGTCCTTTTCCCTATTCTGTCTTTTCCCCGCTTGTCACTTTCTACCATAACTCCACTTTTTGTGCTCGGAGTTGGTTTTTGACTTCATGTATCTTCATTCTAAATGGTTTCCATGAAATACGTATATTTACTTTTGCAGAAAAGTACTCTAGTTGCTCCTAGTGTCCATAGAGGTATGGATGCACAGTTCTTCAGAAACATTTCCTTTTCTTGGGATGTTTTTCATAAAAATCTTTGAATGATATTTTATTTCAGGGGTTTTTAAGAAAATATTTTTGGAAGATATTTTCATTCTGGGCCAGTTGTGTGGTTTTCACTTTCTCGAGAGGCCATTGTGCAATTAATAAAAGTTGTTGCTAAATGCCGTGTTTTGAACCTGGATCCTCGTACGGGATTCATTTTCACTTTATTTGCACAGTAAAACATGCATTCCAGTAGCCAAAATCAAGTTTCAGGTCCATTTCGGTTGACCGATTCATCATTTCGGTCAACCTAAGTGATTTTTCTTCACTTTCAAGATTTCAGGAAAGTTCCTGGTCATTTCGGTGGACCAAAAAACCATTTTGGTCGACCTAAATAGTTTCCACACGCCAGCTTCTTCAGTTCTGTTTCAACACTGTTGTTCTGACTTCAAACGGTCATATCTCCTTCATTTCTAATCCAAATGGGGTGATTCCTGAGCCTAAATTAATGGATTTTGAGTCAGATTTCCAATGGTACCAATGTCATTCTCAAATTCAAATCACAGTGGGAGTTATTCATGTTTTAGTGAGGAAGTGTCAGTTTTCGCTTAAACCGGGAAAGGGCGTTTTGTGGGATTCTTGTCCAAAGTTCTTGGAACCTCTTGGAATGTTATGAAAAGGTTAGATTAGGTTGTATTCACCTTATTTGACTTGGTTCAAAGAAATAAAATAGGATATAAAATACATGTCATTGGCCTCCGGTATCATCTCATACATGTCAAATACATTGTAAAAAGTGTACTCATGTATACAATACATTTTTAAAATCAAATACACACATTTGACAAATAAGACTACAATTGGCATTCTGAGCCAACCTCCACAATAATGGAAGTCTCCAAGTCCACAAACCATCCAAGCATAATGAAAACCTCAACTTTGATTCTTGTACCTGGAAAATGTCCCCACTACGTGGGTGAGTAACATAAAGTTACTCGTAGGAAATAAGCATACATCGACCTACGTTTTACAAGTTTGCATGATTTAATTATTGTGCTTTATTCCACCTAACGTCTATGTCAAAGGTGAGACTCAGGGAGCATCCTAACTACCTCAGATCATTTCTAGCATCAATCACCTCATTCATGCAATTTTAACAACATAGGGTCATGCTTACATAAAGCAACAACATAGGAGCATGCTTACACAAAGCAACAACATATATATTCTCAAGGTTATCAACTTGAAGTCTAAAATGCAGCATCAACTAAATATAACAATTTAGCATAATTAGAATATTTAATACCACACATCAAGACATAGATTCTCTAGGTTATCAACTAGAAGTCTAAAAGTGTGAAATCAACTAAATATATCAATTTAGTATGAATGTACTTAACAACATCAAATTGCCAATAACCAATACCACAAGTCACAATTAAACATTGGTTGTCAACTTGGAATTGAATGCGAAATCAAATAGTGGAAGACTTGGACATCGCGTCTCGGATTTCCGCCGAGAACAAAATGCTTGTTCCGAGCACTAACCCGTAGGGAAAACCACTCTTAGTGCGCACTATCTCAATTGGGGAGAACTCATACCACCCGCACTAAAGCCGAACTTTAGCCATATCACATGTAACAATAATGTCCCAAAACTCCAAAATAAACCAAATAAGTTCATAACTTATACATATTACTACTACATAGTAACAAGTTAGCAATATAACTCTCAATTGTGCATAATAAGCATTTCATATCCATAATGCTATGAAATCACAAGCCAACAATATATTCACATTAGAAACATACTCTCATAAATATAAATTTAACAACAATGCTCTTCAATGCATATAACACAATCAAGTGAATACATCACAAGTCTAAATCCATGCACTTAAAATAGAAACAACTTCTAAAACATGATTAGATCCATTTCCAAATGGCTTCAATTTAAAATATGATAAAAGACATATCGTGGTCATTACATATACTCACACAAAAGCTTAATTAGGCCCATGAAACCACAAAATAGATTTTTAATTAATTCTCTTAATTAAAATC